GCATGTGGGCATACACATATATGTGGGTGCAGACACCCGGCGGACTGAGCGCTCATCTCCACTGCCACCAGGGCTGTGTCTTGGTAAAGGCACAATTTCCTGCGCATTCTGCGAGCCTTGTGCAGTCTGGGCCTGTGTCTGCAGGGGTAGCTTGTGAAGGACAGTCCCTTCGGGGGATGTGTAGCAGGCTGTCTGCATTTCAGCAGCTGGTTTGGGGGTGAAAGCCGCCGTGAAAAATCACTGAGTTATATCACCAAATGTGACCCACCCAACCCCAACCACATCTGCGCTGAAACTCGTGAGAAGCACCCTCTCGTGGCACGAACATGGGTCCCAGTGGCCCAGCGCACCGTGGCCCATAGTCGGCCGCCCTGCTGAGTGAAGGTCTGCCGGCGGCCACTGGATGGAGCTCCACAAACATGCCTGCTCTCCGAGGCTGGAAGGTGGTTCTGAGTCACCGTTGGTCAGCCGAAACTCTAGAATGTCCCGGCCCGTCTCCCGGCATCTCAGGCCCTCCCATCTTATTTCCCAGGTTCACATGATGTCAGCAGCAGATGGGCCGAAAGAGCCTCTTGTTAAGTGGTTTTAAGTATCAGGAGAAAGGTCGAGAACGCAATAGGCACTCAACAGATGCTTTGTACTGAGGACTCCTGTCTTACATGCACGACTGACAGAACAAGGCAAATCATAAAAAGTCTTTAAACTGTATCTTATTTATTAAGATATTATGGTTATCTTCAAATTCTTTCATTCCTGGATAACTCAAGTCACTTTTCAGCTTTATGAGAGCTCATTGTGTGCACAGCATGTTGACCACTTGCCAAGGGGGTCACACCCCATTCCCCCCAGAACTGCTAGGGCCACCAGGACACTCATTCTGTCCTCAGCCCTCAGGATGTGGTCAGCAATCTTTAAATTTTTATTCTCAGGGAAGAGTAACATTTGTAAGAGTTGCAAGGCTGTCTCTGCTGGCCTTTGTGGACGACCTGTACGGTGGTGTTCGCGGTGCACTCTGCCACCATCTGAGGCTGGCCACGAACGGTCAGATTACTGTCATTGTAACTGAGGAGCTACAGAGAAACAACCAGAGATGGCAGGATCTGTGTCACTAGGGGAAATGCCGATTTTAGGTTAATACGTTCTGATCTACATCCTATGCCCTTGGAAATACACATTTGAAGAATTCCAAAATTGGGTAATACATATCAAATAATTTAAATCTTCAAATGTGTGGGGTTTTTCTTTAGCAGGTTTTTCTTCCTCATTTATGTAGAATTTTAGGCCAATGGGTACATCATAAGATTTAACAGATGAGAAATGAAAAAGCCCCCAAATTCTCCAACTGATTTTAAATTGAAGAACAGGACTTGTAATTTAGCATCTTACGCATTTATTCCAGGTTTATCCTTTATCAGGTGCTTTCTATAAAAGAATGAATGATTTGACTTATCAACATGTCTGCCCCAAATAGCAGCACGTCAGGTTTCCTATAAATTCTATAACCTTCACGAAATAAACCTAAGATTAAACTCATCTTTTGGAATTTTAAGAATGGCAAGATAGATGTGTTTTTGTGAATTAACAAAATTAATGAGCTTGGAACATAACCTTTCACTGGGAGAAATATAGATTGGTCAATTAAAAATACATATGTAATTTTTATTTAGCATTGAGTTCACAGTCTACTTTAGCTTTTTCCAAATAGTTCCTCATTCTTCTCTCAGCCCAAAAGTCTTTCCATTTTTTTGGCAAGTTCGCAGAAGCGCTGGAAGCTCCCATACCTGAAAGAGAAGTGTCAGGTCACAGCAGATTGATCTAAGATGAATTTAGCACAAGAATGTGGATGAACAAATGGGAAATGGACAGTAGGTTCTGCAGCATGTGGGGTTGGTGGCAGAGGTGTCCCCAGCAGGGAGAAGAACGTGTCTCACATCTGTGAGACCTGGGTATGATGAAGAACCAGTGGTGGGGGGTCTTACTTAGAGGTAAGGGTCTGCATGGGAGCCCCATCCTGCCTTGGGCCTGTGCTTCACCAGGAAGAGCTGCCAGGCTGCCACGTGCCTCGGGGGCCCTCTGTCACCAGCACACATGGGTGTTGGGATGGGAGGAGGGACCCCTGGCAGGACCCTCTCGGGCCCCCAGAAGGGGGGTCTGGAGGTCACCAGAAACAAGCCAGTTTGCAACCAGAGACACTGAGAAATGGAAAACAAATCAGTAATTTTAGGTCCCTCTCCTGTTTGAGGGACCCCAGCTGGGGTGAGGGATTGTGCCCCTCCGCTCTATGCTCTTGGCATTTCCCTCTCTCCTAGGAGCTCTTTCTCCTCAAGCAAAGAGCAGAACAGGTAAGCAAGGAAAAGGGTCTTTTTATTTGAAATAGCACTGCCACTACAAACCAGCCCACCTGCTGGATCCCGTTTCCACTAATAACAGTGCTGGCTTCCTGATCCAAGAGCCTGGCTGTGTGTGGTGGACCTTGGCCTGATCCCGGTCCTGGGTCTGCCCGCCAGCTGGGACAGAACTAGAGGTCTAGCAGTAGCAGGCATGTCGGAAGTGGGAGGTTCTTCAGCTGCAATGTTGGGACCCGTGCCGTCACACTGGTCACTTAGGAACACCAGGCTTTCCCAGGGGATCCATGGCCTCGGGACTACCCATAGTTCAGCTCACAGCTGGAGGAGGGTGGAGGGGGTCAGGCCTGAGGCTTTCAGGATTTGAAAAGAAACTCCAGTGCATCTGAAGACCTACAGCAGCAGTGGCGGGGGGTTGGGGTGGGGTGGGGTGGGGAGCGCATCCTTGCGTAGAACTAGCACATTCCTGACAGAAGCAACCCGGAGACTTGTCTCCTTCTGCCCCAGATCTACTGCCAGGGCCCCACAGAAGCGGTCTGGACTTTCACAGCTGGCAGGGCCGAGCAGGTCCAGGGCCCTGGCATCCAGTGTACTTTCTGGATCCTGCATGGGCAGACTCTTCACTCAGTCCCATCGCAGCATCCTGGAGGGGATACATTCTGCAGATGGAAAAACAATGGCGACCAAGTCACGGGCTAAATTTCCCAAGAGACCAGGACCAAAAGGAGCAACTTCCCTGCATGGAATGTGGCAAAAAATCGAGCCACACTGTTATCCTCAGACCAGATGTGTCAGAACTCAGAAGTTTTCAGGTTATCACAAGTTAGTATGTTAATATCTCCACTAGGGAACTAATATCCAAGATATATAAAGAACCCCTACAACTCAGTAGCAAAATAAAATCTGATTACAAAATGCGGAGAAGGTCAGAAGAGACATTTCTCCAAAGAACACAGACGGCCAACACATACATGAAAGGCTCTCTGCGCCCCTCACCACCAGGCAGGTGCACATCAGAACCACAGAGGGGGACCCCCCCACACACACCTGTTAGGGCGGCCGTCATCAAGAAAACGAGAGAAGAGCTGATGAGGATGTGCAGAAAGGGGAACCCTCGTGCACCATCGGTGAAAATGCAAACTGGTGCAGCCACTCAGTCAACACAGAGGTTCCCCAGAAGTTAAGGAAAGAGAACTCCCCTACGATCTAGTCCTCACACTTGTGGGTATTTACCTGAAGGGCACAAAACCACTAACCGGAAAGATGTCTGCGCCCCCATGTTCAGTGCAGCATTACTCCCCATGGCCGAGACACAGAAGTGGCTAAGGGTCCCTCGATGGACGAGTGGACACAGAAGACGCGGGGCGGGGGGCATACACACACACTACGGAACAACAGCCATAAAAAGGAATGAAGTCTGGCCACTTGCGACAATACGGACGCACCTGGAGGCCACTGTGCTGAGTGAAGTAAGTCAGACGGAGAAAGACAAACACCATAGGCTCTCACTTATGTGGGGGATCTTTAAAAAAAAAATAACCAAGGTCAGAGAAGCAACAGACTGGTGGTTGCCAGGGGTGTGGGTGGTGGGAGAATGGGTGAAGGGGAGTGAAGAGATAAAAATAAAAAATAAATAAATAAATAGGGTGCATTACCGAGCAATGACCAAAAACAAAGCAGGTGTTTTTTTCTGGATGCACAGCCCTAAAAGCAGGGTGGAGTTACCATATTACCAATTCCCAGCCCTGTTCCTCTGTAGCCGTAAATGGCAGGAAATTTTCGGTTGAAACATAAACCACATTTTAAGGAATGTGTGTGTTTATGATTTTCCTTTTAGCAAACCACTTCTGTGGACCGGTTTTCTGCACATGCGTGCACACAGTTAACACGCCGCATGTACTGCATGCTACAGGATAGCAGGGCTGGGGCAGGGCCCCCGTAATCACCCTCCTCTTTCTGCAGAAAAGTGCCCTCCTACCACTGGAGGTCAGGGTTTGCTACCAAATGAACTTGCTGCAAACCTGAAAAACAGATCTTCCTGTTTTTAGAGTTTGGTGGGTTTCAGAGTTGGGAGTTAGGGGCTGCAGGCCTGGGGTGTATTGTGATGGGGTGAGGGGCAGGGCCTTCTGTTTGCACAGTTGTAAAGCTGATGGTTACGGGCGACGGTGTAGAAGAATCCAGGCAGGTTTTGGGCTCCCCGTGGCAGAGGCCACGGAGGACCTGACAGGCAAGGTGGTGGTGGTGGCCCCATACTCTGCCCTTGCGCCCCACGAGGCTCAGTCGTCCAGGCCTGTCTCTCCCCTGGGCAGTCCCTTCCAGCTTCAGCGTTAACTGCCTTTTCCTCTCTTCAGTGTATTTTTATTGTTCCGTCTGGTGCCCACAGTGGGGAGTCGAGCTCTAAAGGTCAGCTGAGGTTACCCACGAGGGCAGCAGGGGTAGTGGGTACATTCAACGGGCAAGGAGAGAACCACGAGCTACTTTACTCTCGATTTAGACCAGCCACCCCGCTGGCTTTGTCCATTGGAAACATCTTGACACCACCTCTGTGTGTGACACTGTGCGCCTCTGCTCCCCGCTGCCCCCACGCGACCCTGCAGCCGTCACGCCCACCCCCATCCGTCCGAAGAGGGTACTCTTTTGTGTTGCCTCCTTCATTCTCATACTGTTGCAACTTTTCTGTCAAATCTTTCTGTGGACAGAAATAAAGTAAAAGAGGGAATCAAGGATTGTAGCAAGACAGAGTATAAATACTGGCTTTTGACTATCATCACGTCGTTCTGGGACCTGTGTGGAGGAAGCTGAGGGCGTGGCCCCGGGGATGGAGCAGTGCTCAGGCCTTGGGCAGAAGCAGGTGGGCTGAGGCAGCTTCCCTTCACACCAGGCCCCTGCTGCCTTGAACAACGTGGCCTTGGTGTAAGAGAGGCCTTTGTGGAACAACAGCAGACTTGGTGAAAACACATCCAGTGCTGTCCTTTGTTCTTGCCGCATTGACCCCCTGGGGAAGACAGCGACACGGTGCTGGGCACCCAGCTCCAGTGTCAGTCACCTGTCTCCCGAGAAGGGGGGTGGGTCGTGCGTCGAGGGCATGCACCCTCGGCCAGCTGCCAGGTGACCCCGCAGTGAGTGCTGGTGGCGGCCCCGGGACTGGCTGTCTATGCCATCACCTGCTGGACCCCCACCTGGTCTGGGGAGCAGCTCTGATGCCCACAGTGCATTTTCTTGATGAGCCGCCGGAGTTTGCCAGGGAAGCTCCTGTTGATGTAACGGTAGAGGAGCGGCATCACGGAGCTGCTGGAGAAGGCCAGGAATCTCGACAGGTCCTTCACAAAGAGCAGAATCCCCAAGTGGTGCCCGTCCACGGGCTTCCCCCGCAAGGCTAGCAACGTGTGCCCCAGGAGGGTCAGGTAGTGAGGTGTCCAGAGCCCAAACTGCGTGCACACAGTGGCCACCAGAAGCCTGTGCACCGAGGGCTCCAGCCTCCCCGTGTCCTGGTCAAGGGGCGTGTCTTCCTTGCGGAGCCTTGCAATGAGCGCCAGCGCATAGAGGACGGCCAGGGTGGGGACCAGAAACCCAATGAACACCATGATGGCATCAGCAGCCTCTGTGTCCTGCATCTTGGAGCACTCGACGATCCTGGCCGCCACGTGGCTGCAGATGTAGAAGAGCAGGGAGGAGAAGCTGGTGAGCAGGGCCCCACCCCAGACAAAGCCACACACGTGCCTGGTGTTGTAGACACTGGACATGTAGGTGCGGGGCAGGGCCCGCTCGATGTAGTAGTCGAGGCTGAGCAGGGCTGTGGAGTACATGGTCACCAGGGAGGAGACGTTGAACAGCACCAGCAGTGTGATGTGAGCCTCGCTGCTGAAGCCCCACAGGGCCCAGCCAGAGGCCGTGGGGCCCAGCAGGTGCACGGGTGCCAGGGCGCTGAGCACCAGGCCTGCCACGGCCATGTTCACGAAGTAGACATCGGGCATGGTCATGCTGCTCTGGTCATACAGGTTGACCAGGATGAGCAGGGCATTGTAGCCCAGGCCGATGGGGACGCCGATGACCAGGTAGAGCAGAGAGAAGAGGGACAGGACCAGGTGGAAGTGCTGGCAGAGGCTGTGGTCCTCAGTGCCACCCGTGCCGTTGAGTGGCCCGCAACTCCACATGGCGGCGGCGGCGGCAAGCTGGGCTGTATGGGAGAAAGCAGGAGGAGGTTACTGCCCCAGGCCTGCGAACCCCCAGAAACGCAAAGGTGGTGCAGGAAGAAAGCCTCGCTCCTTAAACTAGCATAGAACGGTCATGGACTGATTCTGTCCTGTGTGCGCGTGTCTCCTGTGAAAGCAAAGGTGCCGCCCCACTGCTGTTTAAGTCCCGAGCTGGGCCCGCAGGGTCACGAGGCTGCGATAATCTGACTGGCCATGGTAAGCCTCCCTAAGCCTGCGGCGGCAGGAATGTGAGCCATGGACGATTTACCCAGGATACTGCTGGAGAAGTTGCTCCCTGCGCGCTCTCTGGCTCCTGCTGAGTCCCTGCTTCTCTCTGCCGGGAGGGGACATTCTGCAGGACCTCCCCCACCCCCACTGTGGCCTCACCGCTCTGCCTGGGCTGCGTGGCTTTCAGTCCACGTAACCCCTGCCTGCTCAGCCTCTTTACTGAAAGTGGGTTAGAAAGACAGGTGACTGTGGAGCCCGTCAGCCAGGGTGGCACCCGCACAGCACTCATGTTCCCGCACAGCCGGGACACATGCCAACAGGGGCCTTCCTGAGACAGGGTGACCCTCCACAGCCCCCCGGGTGAGGAGAGCAGCCTCTCTGCCTAGCAGGCAGGCCACAGCCTTGCCCAGACCCTTCTCGGCATGCGTGGGAATTGTGTACACCTTCCACACCCATGTCTGTGGTCTGGTGGCCCGAGACCCACCCTGTTTCACATGACACCCAGGCTGCAACAGCAGGCTGCACCTCCAGCCCCTGGAGCGGGCGTGGGTGTACACATGGGAGATGTGTGGGCGGCTGCAAGACTGGCGTGTGTCACCAACGTGTGCGGTGAACGGAGCTGGGAGGTGGGAGACTGCCACGGGCTGACACGCTCATGCCTCCATCTCCACCGGGCCGTCACGGGGTCCCAGTGAGGCCACATCCACGAGAACCGTATGGAGCCTGGGGTTTCCTGGGGGACATGCTCCCTGTTGGGGCCCGGGGAGGGGGCTCTGCCCTGTCAAGTCTCCCGTGCCCATGCCAAGAGAGACGGACAGGGGTGGGTCATCGGTCCCGGCACCCTCACCTGGCCAATGAGGCAGCGCCCTGGCAGGGTGCAACCGAGCAGCCTGTGTCCCAGTGCCTAGGAGGCATGGGCACACAGCCGGCCGCGAGAACCCACCGCATGAGGAAAGAACACACTTCATAAATGTCAGTTCTTTGGAGGAAAACCTTACTTTCAAAATGTAGTTTGGTCCAACCTGACCTCCCGCTCTCAGGATAAGAAATCCTCTTGGGCAAGCATATACAAAGCAGACATTTGTTTCCCGAGCCTTGGGACAGGGATCAGCCAGCCCTGATGCCCCTGAAGGGACTCAGAGGCCAGGCCCTGGCCACACGTGCTGCTGCGCCACAGGCTGGTGCCTGGCATTGGGGTGGGAGGTGACGCGGAGAGAGGGCTCTGAGAGCACAGACCTTACCCACTGGTCTGCCTCACCCTTGCCCCACCCGGGCCAGTGGGATGACAGGGGGTTAACAGTGAAGGAAACATAAGGAGGCCAGGGGCCCCCACTGCAGGAGTGTGTCTGCATCGGAGTCCCCCAGCCTCAGACTGCACACAGGCCATGTAGGCGTCAGGGACATCCAATCCGGGGGAGTGTTTTGCAAGCCTCACTAATGCTGCCCAGCAGCCTGCGATGATGTGTGTCAGACAGTAGCGACACTCAGGGTCAGGCTGGGCACAGGGCTGGCCGGCTCTGCCCACATTGGTTACATCATTGTTACAGTGTTTACTGTCACCCACAGTGTGGGCTCGGCCCTAAAGTCTGGACAGTGCTCCTCAGCCTATGGCCCTGGTGGGCACTCTGCACCCCGGGGGCCGGATTCTGGGGGAAAAGGTGGGAGCCCCGGGCGGGTGGTACGTGTGTCCCACAGCCAAGGCACTGGGTTCCGCAGGGAGCTGGGAAGGGAAGGGGAGTCATCTTTTAGCTGATTACATGGCCGGTTTCCACTCTCCTTCTCCTTCCTGAAGGCCTCCAGAGCTGGCTGGGGATGTTTCAACAATGTGGCCTCTTCTCTGTTCTGAGGCTCCTCCGTGCTGAACCATGGCTCCAACAGTGAGCGGGGGGGACAGGGAACAGAGGAGGCTGTGGGGAGCTCACCTGCCAGACTTCACTGGCCTGGAGTCCCCCAGAAACTACATTCTTGTGGCCACTGTGGATATCTTCCATCCCAGAGCATCTGTCTGTGCGGTGACCAGCTGGGCTCACGTCCTGCCCAGGGACCCATAAGGTCTGCCTGAGATGTTCCACCTGCTCTCGTGTCCAAGCCTCTTTCCTTACAAGAGGAGAGAGATGCGTCCCTGAAAAGGGAGGGCCCTGCGCCATTGTTAGGACAGGCACTGGCTCAGTGGGGCGCTGGCCAGCAGGAACGGCTGGGACCTGAGGAGCCACACTCCTGGTCTGACAGAGCCCGTCCTCCCTCAGGCCTGCCCCAGGCTTGTGCGGGGCCCTCAGCCCTCCCTCCCGCAGCCTGTCCCTAGCATCACCCCAAGTGGCCCGCAGCCGCACCCGTGCCTCAGGCTGCTTACCTCTATCCTAAGCGCCCCGTATCTATGCGTCTGGACCGCAGACCCTGTGAGCAACACAGCAGCATGGACGACAGGGAGGATCCTGTGTTTCTCAGCACACACACACCACCACCACCACCACCACCACCACCACCACCACCCCGCCCGCCCTGGGTGCTTATCAGCGGCAGCCTCGCGGCACTGGCTTCCTGCGCGGTGCGTGTGCGCACTCCGTGCCCGGCATGGAAGCCACTTGTTTTCCTCCAATAAATCGCTCAGTGTCGGCCTCCCTTGGCAGGCCCAGCGGCCCCTCCCTATCTCTGTTTACAGCCAGATCCGCAGAACGGGGGCTGTGCCTGGAAGGGCCGGCACCGTCTGGTCAGGCTCCTGCCCCGTCGCACCAGTTCTGGGAGTGCCAGGTTCCTTCCCCCTACACCCCAGCCTGTGCCGAGTGATGGGGCAGGTGCGGCAAGTCTTGCCCAGAGCCCACATGGCCGTTCCTGACACTCGGGGTGTAGGGCGTGTGCAGTGACAAGTTCCTCTTTCCCTTGAGCAAGGAAACTGAGAGGCAACTTAGGACAGAACCAGAGGCCACACCGAGTCTCCATGGAAAGGGGCTGTGGCCACCGGCCCTGCAGCACGGGCCCCAGGGCTCTTTGAAGGGGCAGCAATGGCTGAGGACAGGTTTGGGACTGGCAGGAAGAAGGGCGGGTGTCTTCCCTGTGTCGCTGTGGCACCCACAGCTGGCCTGAGCACGGCTACAGCGGAGCTGCCGGCCAGTGGCCACTGGCCGTGTCCCCTCCCAGCCAGGGGCTCAGGGAGCCGCTGTCCTGCCTGCCCATGGCTGCCCCGTGGGGCAACAGGGAAGGGCCGCTGGCGAGCAGCCATCCTGGGCCAAGAGTGGCTCCATTCTTGGGAAACGGTCACGTGGAGCACAGTCTGTTTAGAATTTCCTTCCCAGTTCTCGTGCCTGTGTGGCCTGGCTCACAGGTCGTGTGGAGAGCGGGCGGTGGCCGTCAGTGCTCGGTCTTCAGTTGAAATAGGCCTGAGTTTCTGTTTGCTGATAGCCAGGAAACACAGAACGTACTGACTTGATTTCAGAAGCCAAAGTTTGCGTCCGTGCATGGTTCTCGTGTGTATGCAAGCAGAGGATGCCAGCTGTTGGCTTTCTGTCAGCCTGACGATGACAAGCTTTGCTTTTTTGTCCCAGCATTCTTCTGGGGAAGCCACTTTGTTTTCTAAACACGGGCGTGTGGTATTTGCCAAAACAGGAGTGTTCATTCCTGTCTGGGATGATGGGGCTGAGAGGCAGGGCAGGGAAGGGAACAGCTGGCAGGGAGGCAGGGGGCCAGGTGCTGGGGTGACGCCACCATCGCTGAGGCCACTGGACAGCCACGTGCCCGCCTCAGGATGGGCTCACCCATGCCCTGTGCAAACCGAACGTGGGTCCCTGTGAGCACAGGTGGTCCCGCTGCAGGGGGCTGCAGGCATGTGGCACAGGTGGGCGGAAAGCAGGTGGAGGTGCTCAGGAGGCCAGGGGATAGCGACTGCACCCACAGAACTGCCCCATGTCAGTGGGTCTGGTGCGTGAGCCCTCAGTGGTCCTGCCTAAACCCTAGTCACAGGTGTTTGGTGAAGCCTGTGCAGGTCTTGAAGCTGCTGGCTCATGTCACAGCTGACCTTCCAAAGGATGAGCGCCAGGGTGGGGGGTCCTGTCTAGGCCAGGACCGCTGCCTACCATCCTGCACCTGGAGCCAGGCGGATGGCCCTGATCCCCCAGGCCTGCCCTCCTGGCTACACAGGGCCTCCAGTGGGGGCTGGCCCGGCCTGCCTTTCTCTGGTTCCTGTTTCCTTGTGGTGACTCCACTTCCCTTTTGTACACTCTGGTTTTGTTAAGTCCAGGAACCTGGGAACAGAGACTTCCCTTCAGGGAGGAGGCGGACCTGGGAACAATGGTCTGGCTCCCGCCCTCCAGCCCAGGCCTCAGACCACCTTTCCAGCTCCTGAGAAAGAGGAACTTGGAGTGCAGCCGGAGTTGGGGAGGGTGGGTGGTGGTTCCAGGAAGGTCCTCTCTGCAAGGCCACGCGGGGTTCAGTGCACTTCAGTGCCCAGCGCTCCCCACTCCACCCATTCTCATTTGGAAATCTGCCACATTCTTCAGGACAGCAGGATGGAGAATCTAGCTTCCCGGGCCCTGTCACCTGCTGCATGCCCTCAGCAGAGGGGGTCAGGATCAGTGAGGACCCCAGTGGGCTTCTCGTCTGGGCTAGCCTTACAAACAGGTTGGGTCTGTCTCCACACTTCCTCCCAAGACCCCCCTGGGCTCCACCTTGCCAGAGCTCCCTGCTGCTTCCCTGGCTCCTGGGCCTGCCTCATCTTCCACGCACCCTAGAGTCTTTTCTAGAAGGGTCT